TTAGTAACTAACTAGTTTGTAAACTGCCAGTGAATCACACGGATTGTTATTCTCGAAACTACTTATATACAAACAAATAAGTTAATGTAGTAGATTGCTATAACAAAAATACGTTTGCTTCACCGACAATACCACCAAATAATGTGATATGAGATAAGGCCTGGTCTTCCTTGAAATTCGTATCTGTCCTGTTACCCAAGGGCACTCGTGGCAATGTTGCCGAGTGGTTAACGTGTCACACTCACATGCCTCTGTCATGGTTCGACTCCCGCTGAGGTTGTTAATAATACCTAGACGAGGTCGAAACTGCAGTTCACCCTGAGTGAGAACAACTTTTGGGAAAGCAAGGCTCTCTGAAATTAAATGAAAACGTTAGCCTAACTCATATCATTGTAGTAAAGTTCTACTACCAGTCCGTCACCGTAAAGGATATAAGGTAAATAAATCTCATATTACTTGTATTCTTTTGGGCAAATTAATCTATCAATTCTTCATCTTTTGCGATCTAGGCTGAATACAAGTATTTTAAATTAGTCGAGAAGTTTTATCGGAAGTCATCTATCACCATGTTCTAGTCAAAATCGTAACTAACTTCTCGAATACATCCGAAGTAATGGCTTTCGTATTAAAATTTACAAATATTTTATTACCTATCAATCTTTATAGTCATATTCTAATCATCATCATCAGATATACATGCTGAATGCCCAACTTGAGATAGGTACATTTATAATATTACTGTTCTATCACGTTAAAAATTTATGCTTGGGCGATTTTTGCTCTCTAAAACAATTCTTAATGTGTTTGTATGAAGACCAAGCTGGTGTGGCCTTTTGTAGGGTCGCAGTCTCCTTTCATTGTATAGAAGTTGTTTGACCTTGTTTTTAAAACTTGGTCATATTGTTAGGAAGACAGAGGATTGCATCTTGTCCCGAGTCCATTGTATGCATGATAATTTCCAAAGTCGGACCGTGGACGTGGTACATTGCCAGACGTTTCGACGGCATCGTAGTCGACATCGTTAGTGAGTCTTGCCATTTTTAGTACCATACTACAACTCGTCAAAGGGACAAGTGAGGCCGATCCTTTGACCAAACAGTTGTGGTATCTCCTGTCCTGGGATATTCACCTCTCCTATATCCTCGTATCACGCCTTCACTATAACAATTTTTCCTTGCTTATTTAAATCTAGTGTGGTGTGCCCTTTTAAGCGGCTTTCATAAGAACCCTCCACATTCCACGCTGGGGTTCTCACTCCTCTTCACCTTTGTGCTGTGAATTTTGATCTGTCTGCCATATTGTTATGCAGTCTTCTTTCCATAGGTCTTATCAGAATCTCCCTCTAGCTCCGTAGGATCCGTCTGCTATCTCCCTGGTTCAAGTATTTCATTCGACTCCTGCCACCCCATCTATGCTACTCGAGGCAGACAGGAAAAAGTAGATTGAGAAAATGGAAAGTATTCTAGGCAATCGGAACAATTTTAAAATACTAAGGAAGGGTCCAACCATGAATATCAACGGGACACTGAAGAATATGCTAAAGAAAATGCATAATAATGAGGAAATTGATAGATGGATGACGAAATCTTTAATCAAAAATGACGCAAAGCCACTGACAGCCTACGGACTACCGAAGATACACAAGGAAGGAAATCGGCCAAGATTAAGAATCAACAACAAGCATGCAGCAATACACAAACTAGCGAAATTAATTTGCTTTAAGCTCAAGAAATTAAATTACAGATTCTAGAATATTGTTAAGAATTCATAGGAATTTTCTCAAAGGATCCAGAACATTAGGCTGGTGGGGACGGAGCTTTTTGTAAGTTTCGATGTACAATCAATGTACACAATCATTTCAGGTGAGAAGGCGGTAAGCGCCTTGCTGGAGATATTGGAATTAGAAGAGGATATCCTGGAGGCAGAACGGATACGGAAGGAATCTTTAACACGACTGATCAACTTGAAAGTAAGGATCACATGTTTTACATTTAACGGCAGTATCTACGACCAAATATTTGGACTACCGATGGGATCTCCACTCTCACCCTTGGCAAGTGGGTACACGGACAAGTTGGAAATGGAATTCGAGAAGTCACCACTGCAACCAAGAGTTAGTATGCGATACTTGGAGGACTACCTTGCACTTTGGTCACATGGTAATAACTTTGCAGAAACATGGACACTGAAAGATCCGAAATAGCGGAACATCGCACGGACAGAACACGAAATCGAATGGAAATCGACAGAAAGACTGGCTGCATATGGTAAAAATACGCGAAAACGCAAGATCCGAGAGACCATCGATATACTGACCGAGAGAAATCGAATGAACAAGAAACTTGAAGAAGGCAGGATCAGCGAAAACTTTGAATTTTGCCTAAACAAAATCGTAGAAGACTAGGCAACAGTAAGATCAGCAAAAAGAAGAATGGATCAAGGTAACATACTTAATTTTAGGAAAATAAATCGCAGCGGGACCAGAAAGGAACAATCATAAGCCAACAGGGGGCGTCTTTAGTGAGCCTAATCAATACAAGTAGAACCACAACATTTGTTGGTTGGCATACAAGAGGGCATATGAAGTGATAGACCTGGTATTAGGGATAGAAACAAGATAGACGTGGTTGAGACTATAGCAAATTGGCTGACAGTTGGCCTCTTTTACAATAGACGTGGTGTATGTAGCAAAGGCTTGACCATCAGACTTACTCAGAGACTTTAGCCTCGAATTAGTCGCCAAGACGCAGGGGAAGGGTAATAATGCCTTACGTAGCACAGATTGGGTGGCAGGGGTCGAATTAATATAGCAGACGGATCCTACGGGGCAAAAGGGAGACTGCTATAAAAGCTATGAAAGCAGGACTGCGTAAGAATATGACAGACTTTGATCAACATTCCCAGCACAAGGAGGAAGGAGGGTGAGAGCGCCGGCGTGAAGTGTGGAGGGTTCTCATGAAAGCCGCTCAAAAGAGCACACCACACTAGATTCAAGTAAGCAAGGAAAAATTGTTATAGTGAAGGCGTGATACGAGGATATAGGAGAGGTGAATATCCCAGGATAGAAGGAGAGATACCACAACTGTTTAGCATACATTTGGTCAAAGGATCGACTTCACTTGTCCCTTTTGACGAGTTTTACTATGGTGCTAAGACTAGCAAGACTCGCGGACGATGCCAGCGAAACGTCTGGGAATATACCACGTCCATAGTCCGACTTTGGAAATTATCATGCATACAATGGACTCGGGACTAGGTGCGTTCCTCTAAGTCTTCCTATTATATGACCAAGTTGTGAAAACAAGGTCACCGCTTCTATTCAATTTTTGATGTGGTTAGACAAAATTAAATATTCACTCACTCATTGCCAGGCTTTAATAATAAG